AGGTAATTTAAAAATATTTCGGGAAATGTGTCTCATTGTTAAAAAATTTAAAATTATAAAATACAGTCGGAACCAGTGACAGAAACAACTGAGACAGAGCATGTTAGCAAAAAAAGAACTGTAAGCTTTAGGGAAAAGTCTGGTAGCCCAGGCACTTAAGGAAAAACAGATTGTTCTCATGTCCTAACAAAAAACAAATTGTCAAAAGAATTTTTTAAAAGTATTAACATTTATTTATCAAATTTTAAACAAAAACAAAACATAAAGGAAAAAATGTTAGAAAAAAGATATGTTTCAAAACTGGAGGGTAGCTCCGGACACACATGTTAACCATGATTTTACCTCTTTTTTTACTCGTGTGACGCAAATATTATATATATATATACATATATATATATATATATATATATATATATATATATATATATATATATATATATATATATATATATATATATATATATATATATATATATATATATACACAGCTAACACAAAAAGTTCAACAAGCGTTACGAATGTTCTATGAACGTTTATCGAACGTGCTTGAATGTAAGCAACGCTCGTTGAACGTACTTGAACATTTTGTGTTAGCTGAGTAGTTAGCATTAGACTGTTCTCAACACATTTTATTTATCACTTTGAAATATAAACATTAGCTTTTTACTAATGAAAATAAACACTTTAAAAACATTCAAATCTTAGGTCTTTTTATTGGAACTAATTGAATTATTCTTATGGGTTTGTGTATTAAATTAAATGTATTGTTATTTTTATAAAAAGTAGCTCATTTTTAATATGTAAATGGATTAAGTTGTCTGGAACGACTCTCCGAACATGTATTGGAGCTTGTTTAAAATTAAAAGACACTGCATTTAATTGAAAATCAGATGTCAATAAGTATATTTAAAAAGAGAAAGATCTATTAAATGCTAAAAAGATTGATAAATGGGATTTTTATTTTATTTATATAATAGGTCATTGCAGCAAACATCCACTTTATGTAAAATCATAATTGTTAATAAAATTTACACAAAAAAAGCTTCTTGTATCTATTGAAGAGTGAGTTAATAATTTAGACATAAAAAGGTTCTCCAAGAAAAATCAAGGGTCTTACCACAAAGTCTTACCACAAAGGATTGTGAAACAGCAGTTTAACTAGAAAGATCACACCTCCTTCCTTACCAATGTAATTATGGTCAGAGTCGATATCAAACCTCAGACCTCTTAACTCTGAGAAAGAACTCCAATCCACCAATGCACGACGGTAGCTATGAAGTTATTTAGCACTTTTTCATAGTATTTATTATAAATTGTTCCATATCTAAGAAAAAAAAAATGGACCAATATCATGTATAATGCCTACTTTTTTATTTATTTATAACTACCCATAATGATTATCTATTTTCTTAATAAAATAAAAATAAAAATATTCACCATCTATTCTACTTTGATAATAATAATGATTTCATTTGACTTAACAATTGATTGTTTTGTCAAAGTAATCACTATTATTTAAATTGATGTAGAAGGCCAAATATTTACAATCAAAAAAAGGTATTAGGTAATTCATAATTTGGATTTTGTGCACACACACATACAAACACACACACACACACACACACACACACCTATTAAATATTAGATTGAATGAGGGGTGGGGGGTGTAAAGCTTAGCACATCCCTGTAAAACAGTAAAGAACTGTAGTTAATCTACTAGGTCATTACACAATTTATAGGTAAAACCTTTTTCGTCTAGTAACTTAAAGAAAAACCCAGACGAATCAATGGCGAATCCTACAAGCCTCCTAAAAAAATGAAAATTGTCTTACCAAACCTAATTTGCCAAACTTGCCAAACTAATGTTAAACTTTTTTTCGTTAAAAATCATAATTTTAAAACAAAACTGTTACAATCCACTTGAAAAACTATGTTTTTTTTTGTTTGTTTGTTTTAATTTAACCTAACATAATATGAACATTTATAGGTAAACTTTTAATTTAACCTAACATAATATGAACATTTATAGGTCCGAGGTTTGATGCTAGCCAGAGCCAGCATCAAACCTCGGACCAGTATCGCGGAACTCTTGGTTTTTGCTAGAACACTAACCAGTGCGTCACGGCTGCTATGTAACACTTAAATAATGCTACAATTTTTTAAGTAGATTTTTTTCTAGTTACAAATTTTAGTTGTTGAACCTTACAACTGTGCAAGTCGCAAACTTTAGTTGTAAACCTAAAGTTTACTATTTATTAAAATATTACTTCCCAGTAGACACGGTCGTAAAAAAGACGTCTTTTAAAGGTCTATTAAATGTTTTACACGTTTTTTGTACGTCTTTTGAACGTTTTAGACTCTTTTTTAGGTTATGTTATGTTTTTCTTTTGTTAGATAAAGTTGAAAAAAAAAAAAAAAAAAAAAAAACACGTGACTAGGTATTATGTTATGTTGGTACAAATATTATTTTTGTAATACAAATTATTAATTTTTTTTTAAGGCATTTCAGCAACACAAGCAAACGGATTTTACATGTCAAACACATGGTGCGAATACAAAAAAGACATTATTGTTTCACATCCTGCAAATGATTTTAAATGTTTAAAACTTTTAACAAACCAAAGTGCAGAGTCAAAAGTATAAAGTTTTTAGGAAGACTTATATAAGTTATAATAAACTTTATTTTATTAAAAATAAAAAACTTTCTATATATATATATATATATATATATATATATATATATATATATATATATATATATATATATATATATATATATATATATATATATATATATATATATATATATATATATATATATATATATATATATATATATATATATATATATATATATATATATATATATATATATATATATATATATATATATATATATATATATATATATATATATATATATATATAAATATATAAATATATATATATATATTATATATATATATATTATATATATATATAAATATATATTTGTATATATATATATATATATATATATATATATATATATATATATATATATATATATATATATATATATATATATATATATATTTGCGTAGGGAAAGACGGGGCAAGATGGCAAACGTTTGGAAAATCTAGAGTTTTTGCTGTCAGTCATAAAATAATAATTATTTGTCAACATATATTTTTTATCTTTCATTTGTTTTCATTGATTTTTTGCTTTCATTTGTTTTCAGCTTGGGAGTAGAAAAATTTGTAATTAAAATTTAAATTTAAATTACATTAACTTGTCATCTAGCCACATGACCGGGGCAAGATGACTTATTATGCGTTTTTTATCTTTAATTTTATAAAAACATTAAAACTACCAACTCCTTATTACTACAGTAACACAAAGTAAACATGCGTCTCAAAAATAATGTTCTTTAAAATATTACCTCCGAATGACACTATCTATTAGTAATAATCGAAACCAAGGTATTATTTTAAGCTTAAACAAACAAACTTTCATGTATAAAATTACGTTAAAAATATTTAAAAAAACCAATTGGAGTTTTAAAGTTCAAGATAAAAATACATTTTCGTTTCACTCCATTTTTAAATTTTAAATGTTAAAATTCATTTTGCCCTATTCGCCATCTAGCCCTTCTTCCCTCCTTGTATATATATATATATATATATATATATATATATATATATATATATATATATATATATATATATATATATATATATAGATAAATAGATAGATAGATAGGTAGGTAGATAAAATTATTGATACTGCTACTGTTTTTATTATTATTATTATTATTATTATTATTATTATTACTATTATCATTTTTTATTATTACAATTAGTATTTATAAAATTGGAAAATACTGTTTTTTTAAATATTAATAATGACTAATTTTCTGGATTAAAGATCTGTATTCTCAACTTGTTAAAATTACAGTTGACTCTTAATATCTCGAACTCTCAGGGGACCGTAAAAAAAAAGTTCCAGATATCAAGAGTTTAAGATATTGAGAGGATTTTGGCTCAAACAAGTGCGCAAGGAACTGGAAATAAAGTTTAATATAAATAATAAGTTTGAGATATCGAGTAGTCGAGATATCGAGAGTCAACTGTACTAGAATTTTTAATTGTAAAATTGTAACTAATGACGTCAACAGTTAAATAGCAAAACCTATATTTGACATATTGGCCGTCATCCAGAATAATACTGCCGGTTTTAGGAGAGCAAGATATTTTTTTGTACTTCTAGGACCTCCCTAACTTTTATTTAAACCCTTTTATTTTCTACTTTTAATGTTTTTGATTTTGCCTATAAGTGTCTATTTTGCAAACTGGTTTGTAAAGAACTTATGCAGATTGATTGATACAACCTATTTTTTTCGAGAAAGCGATTTTAATACTGACGCGTTTATGTGTTAATCTGCATTTTTGTTTTACCTTTCTACACTTTGGAACATCTTATTAATATAAGATGTTCCAAAGCTAGTAAGCTGGCTTCTAATAAGATGTTCCAAAGCTAGTAAGCTGGCTTCTAATAAGATGTTTCAAAGCTAGTAAGCTGGCTTCTAATAGGTTGTTTCGATCTTACTAATAACTCGCAAAAGTTGTTTTTTAAATAAAAGAACTGAGCTAGATTATGGTTTTTGCAGAGTTAAAGGTCAGTCCTACCCTAAAAAAAGTACGGGGATAGGATGATCCAGAGACTCTTTTATACATTACCATTTAAAAATGTTTCATAACGTCTTTTTCATTTTTCAAATGTCTAGTTTTGAAGTAATTCTGCTCTACTGTGCGTTGTTTAAAATGAAGTTCACTGTGCGTTGTTTAAAATGAAGTTTGAGTTAAATAAAAATGATAACTATAATCTTAGAGAGAATATGTTGAACACATATAAACTGCCTAGGGTAATAAATAAATATTCAGAATACAGCATTTTATATCGAGGTCCAAAAGTATGGAATATTTTTCAAAAACGGTTCAAAGGTACGGTGAGTTCGTAAAGTTCATTCAAGTTTTTAACAAAAAAAAAAATCTTTAAAACCTGTGAAACATTTTTTGTTAATAATGCATTGGATAAATTCTCTTAAATACGTTTTTGTTTTGTTTCTACTTTTGTTTGTTGCTTGACAAATTTTATTAGCGGATTACGCATTTTGTAATGATATTTTATTGAAATTTTTATTTTGTATGTTATATTACGATATTTTTATTAAATCTTGTTTAAGGGGTTCTATGAAAAGATTGCAATGACGTTCTGTCATCCTCAACTTCTTTGAGCCCCTATCTGTTTTACTTATTTTGTTAAATTTTATATTATGTAGTGGAATTTGTAAAATTCTTATGTTAAGTAAACAGAGAAAGAAAGAAAAGAAAAAAAAAAAGTTTACTGTACGTTGTTTAAAATGAAGTTCACTGTGCGTTGTTTAAAATGAAGTTCACTGTGCGTTGTTTAAAATAAAGTTCACTGTGCGTTGTTTAAAATGAAGTTCACTGTGCGTTGTTTAAAATGAAGTAAAGCGATAACAAATTTCAATTAAGTGAAAAGTTTTTATAAATTTTTAAAGTTTGAAAAATAAACAATAAATAATATTAGCCATCTTTTTCGCAGTATAACTATTAACCGTTGTACAGTGGGGCAGAATTGCTTTAAAAAAATGCTTGCTTAACATGGTTACGAAGCAAATGTAGCCAGCAAAGTATAGGTTTGAAATTGTACCATCAGTTAATAAAGAATTTTTTTTTTGCCTTTTTAATTAAGTAGTCAGAAAAGTACGAAAAATTAGAAACAGTACAAAGACATTAAAGTTACTTAAGACTCACCAAAATTTAATCTGATTAGTTGTCTAGAAAAGTCAAATCAAATCAAATTTAAACACACCTGTAATTGTCTTGAAAAGAATAATGATTACAAATTTATTCTAAATTACAAAAGTACATGTCAAGTAACAAAAACTAATAGACGTTCAATGTCAATTAGCTTTTAGCTATCTGACATGTATACTGCACGACAACATGTATACTGCACGATAACTTACACGTACCCTACTACTAGCACCTCTTGACCTTTCCAGCAAAATCTAAAATTATAAAACATAAATAACAAAACTAAATTAAATTAATTTTAAATATTAAAATAAATCTGTTTTACATTTTGCAGTGACAATAATTCACAATATATTTATACCAAAATAGTGATTTAGATAAGTTTTAGAAACAATGAACAATGTAGATAATTAGAATTTTTTCTTTTACACTGAAATACATCAGAGTTAACAAATTTAAAAAAATGTTTAAAAAATTATAAAAATATTTATTACTGATATGGCAATGACGGCAAGTCGTAAACATCAGATAATTAGCTGGTCACAGACTAGCAATGCATATGATGCACAAATTTTTCAATCCAAGAAAAGAAAATCTGAATAACTAAAAAAGTTGAAGATTTACAAAAGAGAGCAAGATCTGAGGTTTATACACCTTGGAGTATAATTTATACACCTTAGAGTATGGTTTATACACATTAGAATATAGTTTATACACATTAGAGTATGTTTTATACACATTAGAGTATAGTTTATACACATTAGAGTACGTTTTATACACATTCGAGTATGTTTTATACACATTAGAGTATGATTTATACATATTAGAGTATGATTTATACCCTAATTAGAGTATGGTTTATACACATTAGAGTACTGTTTATACACATTAGATTATGTTTTATACAGAAGACTAAAGTTATGATAGTAAAGATTTTATTCACATGGATGTATTGCATTTAGAAAGCTATAAAGTATTACTTTTAAATTTTAATGTTACATTAATTGAAAAGTAAAAACAACGGAGACATTATATACAAATTTTCTTTCATTTAAACATATATATATATATATATATATATATATATATATATATATATATATATATATATATATATATATATATATATATATATATATATATATAAATTTTCTTTTTCATAGCAATAGTTTATCTAACAACAATGTAATAAGAAGATAAGAAGAATTCAATCTGTCAATTGCATTGTTTGCACTGGAACTGTTCAATTGACTTTAGTTTCTTCTTGAGACCAAAAGAGGAAGAATGGTACAAACCATAACTGTTTATAATTAGTGTAAATAATACCTAAATGTAAATAATAATATTGTACTATAAACGTCTCTATGTGTCATATATTGGCTTTAGAGATTACCTAAGCTAATGAAGCAATTTGCCAGTTTTGTAAATAGATAATTAAAAAAGTTCAAAAATATCTTTAATATCTCTCTGGGGAATATCTCAATGGGGAAATATCATATAGTATATATAATCATGTAAATTTATAATAAAGTAGCGTTTAAGTATTGTAGCGTTTAAGTATATATCCATTGCTTTTCTTGATTTATGTAAATGATTTTAGTAATGCATCAGCTAAGCTTACGTCAATAATGTTTGTTGACGACACAAATCTCTTCCTTTCAAACTGTGACATTAATCAACTGTATTCTGACATGAACTCTGAACTAATGAATGTAGATGAATGGTTTAAGGCAAATAAACTTTCACTCAATGTAGATAAAACAAAATATGCTTTATTTCATAAAAAATCACAAGATGAAAAACTTCCTTTAAAATTACCTGATTTGATTTTAAATGATGTACTAATTAGTAAAAATGATTCAATAAAATTCTTGGGAATTCTTATTGATGAAAATTTATCATGGCTTCCCCATATTAATTATATTCAATCAAAAATTAGTAAAACAATTGGTCTAATTTTTCCATTTTGTATTTGTCCATTTGTCCATTTGTCCATATTTCCATTTGTATTTGTCCATATGTAACATCAGAAAGTCTGAAATTAGTATATTTTGGCCTAATACATTGTTTCATATACTATGCCAATATCACATGGGCTAGTACTCAACCAACAAAACTTAAAAAAATATTTTTTTTACAAAAACATGCATGCAGACTTATAAATATAAAAAAAAAATATGAACATACAAAACCATTAATGGAAGACATGAAAATGATGAATATATATGAAATCATTTTCAAAATCATTTACCAACACCTAATTTTTATGTATAAATGTAACAACAGCTTGATTCCAAAAAACTTTAATGATAAATTTACAATAAATGTAAACAAAAAATATTCTCTTAGAATAAACCAATGGAATACTTATAAATTACCAAGAATTAATAGTAAGTATTCTGAATATGGAATATCATACCGTGGACCAAAACTATGGAACACTTTTCAAAAAACAAAAAATTTAAATACTGTAAAATCATTAAATTCCTTTAAGTTTATAATAAAAAATGAAATTTTTAAATTAGATAAATAGTTTTCTTGATTTTTCGAAATGAAAAACGAGTTCCATTATTCTTAGTTTTTTTACTTGTTAATTGGCTCTTATTTTGATACTTAACAGAGTTGCCAATATATTTTAATGAATATTGATAAAACTATATGATGTTATTTACTTTCTTGATTTAATGGAAATATTTATGTAAGCATTAACCTTTTTATTATATTGGAGATACTATTTTTTTTTACTTGTAAAGCCCACCTAGGGGCTCTATGAAAAGATTTTGTGACTTTAGTCATCCGTATCTTCTTTGAGCCCCTGCCTGTTTATTATAAATTCACTTTTTTTTGTATGTAAACGTTTCTTTGTAATTAGATTTCTTATTATGTAAACAGCAAATATATATTAAATGAAAAAAAAAAAAAAAAAAGTATAATATCGATTAGTGTTAAATCGAAATATAAAGTGCTAAAAAGTTCACATATAACTATTGAGTTTTAATACGCCCTCACGCCTAAGACATTTTTACAAACATTTGGTAGCAGAAGGTAGTTTCAAGCAATTGAATACAACAATACACAATAGTGAATATGAAATTGAGTTGAAAGATATTTATCATAGTTGGATGAATCAACTTAAACAAGCTAAAGCGAAGACAAAAGCGACGTTTACTATAACGAGAAGAACGCTGATGGATTTACTTAATTCCAATCTTCCGAGCAGAAGCGATGTTCGCAAATGATGGGAGAAGATTGACGAAGCACAATTGACCGCAACAAAAGCAATAGATTAAATTTCAATTGAGTATCGGATAAATAATGAATTTGAAATGGTGACAAATCAAAATGGTGACAAATCAAATAAGAAGTTGAAGCAATTGAGTCTGCTTACATGGAAGCAGACAAACTGACGCATGAATATCTTCACTTGCGAAAAGATGGCGCATAAAGGATTGTCATTATAGGAGATGGCAGTGAACGTAAACAAAAACCTGAACTAAACTGTAAACTGTCAAAAAATGAAACTAAAAAGTGGCGTTAAATAAGATGGTGGTTGTTATGAACAACATAGAGCCCAAAAAGTGGAAATAGGATCAATAAGTTGTGGATCAATGGATAATGGATTAATGGATGATGAATTATGTATAAAGTTAATGGAGCAAAGTTGGCTAATGGAATCGGATGAGTTAAAAAATGAACAACTGTATGCACAAGTTAAACGACATGCTGAAATCTCTGTAGTTAAGAAGAATAGGCCCTGTTGGAACTGGTTGGCAAGAAGAACCAATAAAAAGATTGGAGTACATTAAAAAAGGTAAAAACCTTAAACCGGCGAATAACGTCTTGAGTACAAAAAAATAAATTAGACAAGACTTATGGAGGCACTTATCTAGAGTGTCGATTACTGTCTTCTCAGGATATAATACCGAATACAAAAATTGGAAGCATGTTTTGATAGAGCTCCAGCTACACCTGAATACAAACTGTTGAAACTACGCCAGTATCTACCAGGAGAAGTTTCCAAGTTTTTGAAAGTTTGGGGTATTCAAAAGCTGCGTACAAAGCTGCAAAAGATCAAATCGAAAGGTAACACGGTGGCAAACAATGACAAATAGCCTCGTATTTGGAGAGAGTGGAAAATTTCAGCCCAGAAACACCTAACAACCCAAGCAATCTTTAAAATTTTGCTGATATGTTGGA